TTGCCAATGCGCTTGAAGCCATCTCGGTTGAGAAAGTAGTTGTTGCCAGTGCTGTAGTAATAGCCATATCCCAGGCCGGCTGCCCCCAAGGTGGAGCTAAATTCGGCAATGACGTCGCGCTGAAAGCTTGGGTAGGAACTGCGTGCCACTGCAAAGGGATACTCCGTTCCATTTGGCAAGGTGGTCGAGGTATTCCAGAGTAAAAAGCCGCAGCCGTGTTTGGCGGTGAGGACGGCGTGCTTGGCACCCACAGCCCGGTAGTTTTCAACCCAATTGGAGATGTTTAGCCGTGTGGGGTCAAAAAGGGAGGCGTGTGAGCTATGGACACCCACATTCCAGTTGGTGGGGTTGCAAGCTGGATCGCCGTCCTCCACAAAAGTAGCCATGTTAAAGTGTGTCAACTACCATGCGATCAAGCAACGCCGCCAAGTCAAGACGTAAGCCAGAGCGGGGCAGGTCTTGGGTAAGTGGAGAAAAAGAGTCGTTCAAAAGCAAGCGGCAATCACACAGAAGGCAGGATCTGCAGCGATATTCCTCATGAAAAGATCAAGGTCAATGCAATAGTTTCGGCGTCAAACTTACGCCCATAATCTCATGACGCTGATATGCGGCTTGTTCAGGGGTAGGAACGGGGACTTGGTTCGTGGCGCATGGCATTTTGCTCCATTCGGCGCGACAGGCAGCCTGCGTTTCGTGGCGCTGGACTGTCACGCACCACGGGTCAAGCCAGCCCTCGGCGCCGCGGGGCTGCACTCCAGTGAGCGCTCTGTCACACACGTATTGTGTGACGGTGGCCCGGCCCTTTGGACAGGTCTACCCAATCAATCGAGCAAAAGTTGATTCAATATTCACAAGATCAAGATCGTGAGTTCAGTCGCGTGCTCCCACCAGCGCGAAATGCCATGAGCACTATCCCCAGACAGATCAAACACAAACATGCTTCTTCTCCTCGTCGAATGCCTGGCTCCCAGCTCTTGCTACCTCATGCCCGTTGGGTCTTGTGCGTTGTACTCGCCAAGACACGGCAAACCCCCAGTAAAATGTAAGCTGCTAGACTTAGGTAAAGTCATAACTCTAGCATACCGCTATACGTACCACAAAGTGACCATCTACTCACCTTTTACGCGAAAAATGCTCCACACGTGACAGTACGAAATACGGGCGACGCACTTTGTAACCAGAATACAGTCGT